TATATATATATATATCATAACATAGTGTGTAAGAAAAGTTTTTAATTTGATGCATGACCATTTTGTCTCCCCACTCCTGACACAAACTAAAGTAGCGCAAGTGATTTGCTTAAAATCGAAAAGTATTTGTTTCTAACTACGTTGCTAAATGTTCTAAAATGTTTTTAACTATGATTATGTATGAAATGTTTGTATGTTTGAAAATGTCTTTCTTTATAAGCTTGGATAAAAATATTTGACCTAAGAATACATCATAATTCGATAATAATCATAAATTGACAAAGGCATTCTAAAATTCTTTTCACTTACTTGATTAGCTACATTGCTAGTTTCAACTGCAGCATCTAAAGCCGAACAACCCATTCCTACAGCTACTACATTTTTGTTTGCATACTCTGCAACACCTTTTAGACTGTGGGTGTGAATTATTTTCCCTTTAAACAAGTTTTGACCTTCGTATGAGGGCCAGTTAGGAATATTGATGTGTCCTACACTAATGACCACTCCATCGTAGATATCCGATGTCACTTTCCCTGATATAGTATTTTTCACACTCACGTTCCACCTGCCAGTTTCTTCATAATCAGTAGCCCTCTTTACCTCCAATACTTCCGAATTATATTGGATATGCTTTAAAGCATCATTTTTATTAGCGTAACTCATAAAATAGTTCAAAATTTGCTTGTGTTTCATATAGTTAGGTAATTCTTTATCTGGAGGAAAATTGCTATAAGCTCCATACTCTTTGCTATGGTTAATGATTGTGCTTGGCATAAGTGAAGGAACTCCTACTGTGGATTCTTCTCGATAATTCCATGTGCCAAATGGTTTGTCTGTTTTCTCAAAGCAGTAAGGCTCTAAATTTTCCTCTTTCAGCATGATGATTTGCGTAATACCACAGAAACCACCACCTACTATGGCTATTCTTTTCCTTGGCGAAGAAGCCATACTTCTGAAAAATGAAAACATCATGCATAGATATAAAAAAATCATATTTCTTAAAAAACAATTATTTTTAAAAAAAAACTTTTAAAAGAATTGTGTGACGTAATGGCTGAATCAACAATTTTTAATTATAACTCTCCAGCTCAATAAGTGACAACAAAATTTTCTGTGTCCACATGTTTTCTCTCATGACACATATATAATTATTTTCGTCAAGACCAAAATAATTTATGTAATAACAAAATATGTCTTGCGAGTAAAAATATTCAAAATTTGCATTTCATTTTAACGATAATATTAAAACATGGTTATACCAGTGGGGAAGGTTTTTCATGGCGAAAGTAGGCACCATTGCATCGAGTGTTTATTTTATTTATATAT